ATGAAAACATTATCGCTGAAATTTCTCACTAGGGAGAAAATATATGATTGACATACTGTAAAGCTGCATTGTCTTTAATAATTCATGTAATTACTGCGGCCCAAACCTACAAACTTTTCTGCACTGGGATTTCAAAAATGCAGTTGAATTTGTAATAATGGGCCACCACGCAAGTAAAAATTGCACAATTAATAATACAATGGTGACAAAAATATCAATCAATAAAAGTATATAGTTTTACACAGCTCAAAAATCACATTGTATTGGCTGTGTAGTGATCAGTGTGTTCAGTTGCACTCTGAGATCACTTTTATAGTTTTATTTGGGATTAGTATATGAACCACATCATTTGTCCTTGTGTTAATTTCAAATACATGGAATCTTTGTAAATAATACCTGCAAGCATTAGAAAATTAAATTCCAATAAACAAATGGTGAGTTGAAATGATACAAAACTTTGAAACATAAATCATTGAATTAACAATACAGATTGCTAGCATTTTGCACATCAAATTTCGTAATTATTTTAACAGAAGCAAATCTCTAATATAAGTGAACATATTAAAACCAAAAAATTGAAGTTACTGTATAGCTAAACATTAAAAATGTCTTACTTTGATCAGAGATACACTTCTGTCATTCACATCAGTGCATGCGCTACTAATAGGGCAATTATGGTTTTTCACATAATATTCCCAAGAAAAGGCAAATTTCATAATGCTATCATGTTTGGCAGCTAGGATACACTAATAATTCAAACGGGAATAATATATTTCAAAAGTGTAAGTAGAATACAAAATAGTTGCAAAGATAATTAGGGAAAATAAACTTCACATACTGACATAATACTGACATTCACACATGCCACAAGTGGTCTATAATTTAAAAATTGAACCAGACATTAAAATAAGTGATTGTAGGAGACGCTATGATCATTAAAGCACAATGGAATCAATACAGTACTATTTTATTTGTACTGGAATTTATTGTTCCCTCAGATTTGGTTGTATTTCATGTAAATTTATTTTTTCACTGATTGTTACGAGTTGCCTGCAAAATATGGAGAAAAATGTATTTTATTTTTGTTGTTGATTATATCAATGCAGTGTAAATAGTGAAATTGCACACAACAATAGAATATTTCCACAGTAATTAACTTTCATATTTATAAGTGAAATGAGAAGTAAATAGACCATTAAAAAAGTGAAGCAAAATTGGTCCTGACATACATAAATTTTAATTAGGAACCATTAATTACTAATTCACCTAGTATCTATTCGGCATGGTGCTTGTATGTCATTTACATATTTAGATTAATGCAAACACACACTATCGACATAAGCATAAAAGATAAAATACTCAAATGTTCATTAGCATGTGTTCACATTGATAGAAAGTTTATTCAACCAATCACATGTACGGTCAATCGCTGACTGTGATGAAAAAGTAGAGTATATCAAGTGGAATGCTTTATAGATTCTAGGCATAAGTAGAGTATAGTGAGTGGAACACTGAGAAGATTTTAGGCATAAGTAGAGTATATTGAGTGGAACGCTGAGAAGATTCTAGGCATAAGTAAAGTATAGTGAGTGGAACGCTTGATAGATTCTAGGCATAAGTAAAGTATAGTGAGTGGAACGCAGAAGATTCTAGGCATAAGTAAAGTATAGTGAGTGGAACGCTTCATAGATTCTAGGCATAAGTAGAGTATAGCGAGTGGAACACTGAGAAGATTCTAGGCATAAGTAAAGTATGCTGAGTGGAACACCGCTAAGATTCTAGGCATAAGTAGAGTATAGCGAGTGGAACACTGAGAAGATTCTAGGCATAAGTAAAGTATGCTGAGTGGAACACCGCT